TAAGAAGAAAATCACCCATCTCGCAATATATTTGCTCATCGTTTTATTAAAATTGGTTCCTTTGAACATGGTGACTGCCCGTTCGATAGCCACACACGCAGTGAGCCAGTTGTCCATGTATAAAAAAAGTTTAAGAACGGGCTCGAAAACAACGCATCCTACACGAAGAATAGAACGATTGATTGATAGATTGATTTGAGTGAGAATAAAAAACCAAAATTTTAGTACGAACATAGTCGTTGTAAGGAAAGAAGTGATTGATAATGCAAGAAGATATATTCCACAACCGACTTTTCGTGAATCTTTGCTTTGAAATGATAAAAAAGAGAGAATGCTATTGATCCAACCAGTGACAAACATGATCACCGTGAGAGCTGCGCTTACTTTTACTAGTAGTGATTGATTGGTTAACATCACGTTCGGTCGTAGCTCATAACGTAACATATCGTCGAGTGTCATTCCAATACCTTTAGCATAAAATTGACATTGATCACCAAAGAAGCAATCGGTGCAAATACATATTGTGTTCAATGGACAGGTAGGATGATCTTGCAAACATTCAGCTCCGTTTTGACAGTGAGCATTTTGTTGACACTTTGGAAGATTGTGATCAAATTTAAAACAATTGGCATAATGTTCAAGAGTACACAGACACATATAAAATTCATCATAAAAACACTTTAGATCAAAATGAGCTTGACATAGGGTATGATAGTATTTTACTCGTCGAAGTCTTGGAAGTGTCAGTAATTTAGAGTCGAACAGTTCATCTATCCGAGTACATTGTTGAGCAGGACTGATCGAGACAGAAATGTTTGATTTTTCAAATGGTTGAAGAAAACCCAAATAGTAAATATCATTGACCCTGACAAAAGCAATATGAATAGAATCTATTAAGTACAGTGTTACAGTGCGCTGAAACATGGTCAGTTTTTGTAGCGCCACGATCATTCGTGGTTCTTCCGATATAACTATATTAGAGACATAGACTAATACAAACGATGGAATTGCCATGTTGTGAAAGGAAATTTCTAATCTCTGTCTCGAATATTCACATTGGTCTCCGAAAAACGGTTCAGAACAAATACAAGCATGATGCCGCATGTCGATCATTGTTTCATCGATTACTACACATTGACCATTGTTTTGGCAGAAGTTTGTCGGACATGGTAAATGTGTGAGCAAACAATGGCTACCGAACTTGTTAAGTGGACAAACACAAATAGATCGATTGCGAATTGAACCGACCCAGATCGAATCAGATGAACAATCATTATAATAAACGGCGATATCACATTTAGCTCCAGACCAACCTGCACGACATCGACAGAAAAATTTCTTTTTGTTAGTATATTCCATGCATATGCCATTGTGACACGTAAAAGTGCAATGTCTAGGATTAGGAGCTTGCTGAGTTGGTAGAGTAATCTTAACAGTGAGCCGATTGACGGGTAAAAATAGAAAAGGAATTGTCATATGCCAACTTGCAAGGTATTTCAATGAACTCTTGTCGAATGCATCGACACGAATACTATAATTCTTCGAGTAGTTCTTCGGTCGCGTTGAATACAACAGATAGATATTAAAAGTCTCCGAGCAACTAGTTTCAGGTATGAACATAAACTTATGATATGAGTTTATTGCTTGCCAGTCATCATCGTCGTCTATTAACATGGCGACAATGGCATAGACACCGCGGCGATACACTGTACTTATTTTCAACGTGAGACTGACTCGTTGATTTTGGTATTGACATCTGTCACCGTAATAATTCGGTGGACAAAAACATCTGTAGCTGTCGTTGTTGTTCTCAGACCGGAGATGAACATAAAGACCATGATTACAGTGCCATACTCGTGCCGGATCATCATAGTTAGATTTGATGTCATCGACAGGAGTGTGTTGCTCTACAGCACGATCAATCATCATATTTCTTGACAGTGGATAAACTAGCGTGTTTTTCAGTGAAAAAGAAATTTTGTACATATCACCGTTAAGACAAAAAGTCTCATCTATATCGGTACGGTTCGTATGCTTCCATGAATTACAGATTCCATAACGGCCTTGACAAAACGTTTCATCGTCACCAAACGGACAGTCACTGCGTGAGTCACATAGACTAATAGATCCCACACATTTAGTATCATTAAAGCAGCGAAATCCCGAATATCTTCCGTCATAAGGAGTCATTCTTCGACAATGCTGAAGTTCATCTCTCGCTCCAAGACAATCGATTTTTCCGTCTTCGACCCGGTCGGCTGGCAAACATGTCAACGTATAATTGTGTGGAGAAATACAAGCAAGAGAATGTGACGAGCAAATCGATCGTGTACAGTTCTCTTCATCGTTTCCATCAAAACAATTCCAGAACCCATCACACCGCGTGTACATATTGTTACATGGCCAATATTCGCATTCAGTCTCATCTGTATGATTTTTTCCATCAATCATCACCGGTAATATATCTAGAACTCGATCGCATATCTTACGAAACCATATTTCATCTAAGCTACGCTGACTTCCTAGAGGACACATGTCTTGTGAAAATAATGGTGAGCGACAGTAATTTTCGTCAGGACATTTGAACCGACGTGTATGATTGATCGAACAGCTGAGTTCGAATTCTTGTTCATCATCGTTCATGTAACAATCCGAGATACCATCGATAATTCGATGTTTCGAAATACTTTTCGATGAATTCTTACAATAATAGAGTGATTCAGACTGCGAATCGTTTTTGGTTTTGTGTCTGATTAAACATCCTTGAAAATATGGTTTGATCGAATTAATAATAGAAGTCCAGTTTTTGAATTGTACGTTTGACCCCAAACCCATCTCGTGAGCATATCGACAAGTATTGCTTCCATTACGAAACGTAGGTGTGAGAAAATCACATAATTGTTCATCATAACAAACGTAATTAGGTGCAAGAACTAATTCGATGTTCACATCGCGAACATCTTTCGGATGATATAAAAACCGTACATGATCAAAAAGAATAGGAATTGTTGGAAATTGTGTAAGAAATTCACAACTATGAAGATAAGCGATGAAATCATATGACGCGAAGAGTTGCTTACATGGTATTATATCAGCTCGATCGTTAGTTTTGGAAAGACAAACCATGGCTATCCAGCAATTATACGATAAATTTCCTTGATTGCTCATCGATTCAATCAATAAGAGATGACGTCCATTTCGACATTTATCAAAGTCTTGTACACATTGCCCATCTCCACAAGAAAATTCTTCGTGACCTGGTCGACATGAATGTTCGTGACAATTAAATACAGAAGCGAATGCAGACGATATCGACATCGGATTATCTGGACACTTAAATTTTTTCGGTCTATCAGACTGATCGAGACATCCTGCTATATTTTCACCTTGCCTTGACTCTTTCGCAATGCACAATCCATTGTGACATCGATACTCGTTTTCAGCGCACTCATTCACTTCCAAATTGAAACAGTACATTTCATCGGCACCACCATCGAGACAATCAACACGACCGTCGCACACCTCACGCCAATCGAGACATATAGTTGAACCACCACGATCACAAGTCAAAAGCGTGTAACACGTCAGATTAATAATAGCATGCATAGAATTGTATTCCCATTTTGCTCTCAACGTTGCTCTAACAATGTCTTCCAATGAAATTGTTTCATCCAAGTCGAAAGAATATTGGCACTCAGGTCCGAACCATGGTTTTGTGCAGTTGAAGAAAACTTCAGCCGATACGGAGGAAATGTCTTGGTGATCAATATAATTTTGATATCGTTCAGCCAGATCGATCGAAGCCGACCACGAAAGAAGCTGTTGTGTAGTGACATTCAAACGGTATAACTCATTGAACGTAAAATTCCGATCACGAGTGTTGGAAGGATCAACAATCGAAAGTTGGCTCTCAATCATGAGACGAAGACAATAATGAACCATATCTGTGGTTGAAAAGACGTCTGATTCAGGCCCTAAGCTCCTCGTGGCTACATAATAAGGTAAACAGTCGAACTGTAACTGATCGATGTTTGCAGTTCTATCGGTATCATACAAATTGAATTGAGATTCAGTTAACGTCCATAACAACGATGTCAGCAGCAACAGAAACAGCATAACTCTTCAATTAAATTATTTCCAACACAGCATCATTTTCTCAATAGAAGTGCTGAGTGTTGACAATCGTGTCAGCACTCGCAGTTCACTTTTTTATTTGACTCCGATAACTTGTGACAAGTGACTGCATACGACAGTTATAAGTTTGTAATAAAAATGCTTTCTCACCAGGATTATTTTAGACACTTGCGATGATAAATATGAAATATTTATCTGCTATTGTTGAACAGATGTCAACTGCCAATCCATCAAGTGATATCGTTACTGCTCGTTGTCGATAATTTTTCCAATGGAGTCTACAGGTGAAGACAATTTTTTTTTAAACTGGAATGTTAAATGGTGAAAAGGATGTGGGTGTGGGTGTCTTGTGCGGGCTGGGGGTGTAGGTGTGATGTTGGTGCGGGTGGAATAGGGTGCGAGTGGAATAGGATGTGGGTGGAGTGGGGTGTGGGTGTGGGTGAGTGTGGGTGTGGGGTGTGGGTGTGGGCGTGGCTTTGAGGTGTGGGTGAGTGTGGGGTTGTTGGGGTGTATCTTCTAATTATTCACACCCACACCCACACCCACACCCGCACCCACACCCACACCCACACCCACACCCACACCCACACCCACACCC